TGGTGGGGTTTGTGTGTGTGGGGGTTTTGTGGGGTTTGTGTGTGTGGGGTGGTGTGTTGGGGGGTGGTGGGGTGTGTGTGTGTGTTGTGTGTGGTGTGTGTGGGGTTTTGTTGGGTTTTGGGGTGTGGGGTTTTGTGTGTGTTGTGGGGGGTTTTGTGTGTGTGTGTGTGGGGGTTTGTGTGTGTGGGGGGGTTTGGGTGTGTGGGGGGGGGTTTGTGGTGTTTTGGGGGGGGGTTTGTGTGTTGTTTTGGGGGGGGTTTGTGTGGGGGGGGGGGGGTTTTTTTGTGTGTGGGGGGGTTTTTTGGGGTGTGGGGGGGGGGGTGGGGTGTGGGGGGTTTTTTGTGTGGGGGGGGGGGGGGTTGTGGGGGGGGGTTTGTGGGGGGGGGGGGGTTGTGTGTGTGGGGGGGGTTTGTGTGGGGGGGGGGGGTTGTGTTGGGGGGGGTTTTTGGGGGTGTGGGGGGGGATGTGTGTGGGTTTTGGGGGGGTGTGTGTGGGGTTTGTTTTGTGTGTGTGTGTGGGGGGGTTGTGTGTGTGTGGGGGGGTTTTTGGGGTTTTGTGTGGGGGTTGTGTTGGTGTGTGGGTGTGTTGGGGGGTGTGTGGGGTGTGTGTGGGGTTTGTGGGGGTGGGGTGTTTGTGGGGGGTGTGGGGTGGTGTGGGGTGCGTTTTGGGGGGCGTTTTGGGGGTGCTGTGGGGGGGGCGTGTGGGGTTTCGTGTGGGGTGGTGTGGGTTTCGTGTGGGGCGTGGTTCTGTGGGGGCGTGTGGGGTTTTCGTGTGGTTTTGCGTGTGGTGTGGGGGGTGGGGTGGTGTGGTGTGCGTGGGTGTGGGTGTGGTTGGTGTGGTGGTGGTTTTGGGTGGTTTTGTGTGGTAGGTGTGGTGGGGGGTTGTGTGGTAGGTTTTGTGTGTGGGGAGGTGTGTGTGTGGTGGTGGTTTTGTTTTGGTTGGTGTGTGGGGTGGTAGGTGTTTGTTGGTGGGGTGGGTGGTAGGTGTGTGTGTGTGTGGTTGGTGTGGGGTGTGTGGGGGTAGGGGTGGTGTGTGGTAGGTTTTGTGTTGGGGTAGGTGTGTGTGTGTGTGGGAGGTGTGTTTTTGTGTGTGGTTTGTGGGGGGTGTGTGGAGGGGGTAGGGGGGTGTGTGTGTGGTTTGGTGGGGGTGGGGTGGGAGGTGGTGGGGGGTTTGGGTGTTTTGTGGTTGGGGGGGGTTGGGGGTTGGGGTGTGGGGTTGTGTGTGGTAGGTGTGTTGTGGTAGGTGTGTGTGGGTAGGTTTGTGTGTGGTAGGTTTTGTGTGGGGAGGTGTGTGTGTGGTTTGGGTGTGTGTGTGGTAGGTGTGTGGTGTTTTTGGGGGAGGTGTGGGGGGGGTGGTAGGGTGTGTGTGTGTGGGGGGTTGGTGTGTGTGGTAGGTGTTTTTGTGTGGTAGGGTTGGGTGTGGGGGTGTGGTGGTGGGGGTGTGTGTTGGGGGGTAGGTGGGGGGGGTTGTGGGAGGTGTGTGTGTTTTGGTAGGTGTGTGTGTGTGGTAGGTGTGGTGTGTGGTAAGGGTGTGTGTGTGTGGTAGGGGGGTTTTGTGTGGGAGGGTGTGTGTGGTGGGGGGTAGGGGGGTGTGTGTGTGGGAGGGGGTGTGTGTGGGTAGGTGTGTGGTGTGGTAGGTGTGGTGGGTGGTTTGGTTTTGTGTGTTTTGGAAGGGGTGTGTGTGGGGAGGTGTGTGGTTTTGGGGAAAGGGGTGGTTGTGGGAGGGGGTTTTGTGTTGGTATGTGGGGGTGTGTGGTAAAGGGGTGTGGTAGGTGTGTGTGTGTGGTGGGTGTGTGTGTGGTAGGTGGGGTGTGTGGTAGGGTTTTTGTGGTTTGGGGGGGCAATTTTGTTGTGGTTTGGGTGTGTGTGTTAAAAGGGGTGTGTGTGGTAGGTTGGGGTTTGGGGGTGTGGTTGGGGTTTGGGGTGAGGGTAGGGGGGTTGGGTTTTTTTTGGGGGTGTGTGGGAGGTGTGTGTGTGGGGATTTTAGTGTGGGGGGGTGTGTGTGTGGTAGGTGTGTGTGGGTTTGGTGTGTGTGTGGAGGTGTGTGTGTTGGGAGGGGGTGTGGGGGTGTGTGGGGTAGGTGTTTTGTTTGTGGGGAGGTGTTTGGGGTGTGGTAAAAGGGGGTGTGTGGGTTGGGTGTGTGTGGTAGGTGGTGTTTGTGGTTTGGGGGTTGGGGGTGTGGTAGGTGTGTGTTGGTAGGTGTGGTTGTGGGTAGGGTTTTGTGTGTGGTAGGTGTGTGTTTTGGTTTGGTGGTGTGTGGTAGGTGTGTGTGGGTAGGTGTGTTTTGGGTAGGTGTGTGGTGGTGGTGTGTTTGTTTGGAGGTGTGTGTGGGGGTAGGGGTGTGTGGGTAGGTGGTGGGTTGGGAGGGTGTGTGGGGGGGGTAGGTGTGTGGTGGTAGGGGGGTTTCATGTGTGTGGGGAGGTGGTGTGTGTGGTGGTGTGTGTGTTGGGAGGTTGGGGTGGGGGGTAGGTGTGTGGGGTAGGTTTGTGTGTGGGGGTAGTTTTGTGGGGGGTTTGTGTGGTGGTGTGTGTGTGGTTTGGTTTGTGGGTAGGGGTGTGTGTGGGAAAGGGTGTGGGTGGTAGGTGGTGGTGGAGGGGTTTTTGTGTGGTAGGTGGTGTGTGTGGGGGTTGGTGGGGGTTGGGGTTTTTTGTGTGGTAGTGTGTGTGTGGTAGGTGTGTGGGGGGTAGGTGTGTGTGTGGTAGGTGTGTGTTGGTTTGGGGGGGTGTGTGGTTTGGGAGTGTGTGTGGGGTAGGGGTGTGTGTGGAGGTGTGTGTTGGGGAGGTGTTTTGTGTGTGGTAGGTGGGGGTGTGGGTTGGGGGTGTGGTTGGGGGGTGTGTGGGGTTGGGGTTTTTTGGTGGGGGTGTGGTAGGTGGGGGTGTGGTAAGGGGGGTGTGTGGTAGGTGGGTGTGTGGGTTGGTGGGGGGTGGATGGGTGTGGGGAGGTGGGTGTGTGGTAGGGGGGGTTGTGGGTAGTTTTGGGGGTGGGGTAGGTGGGTGTGTGGTAGAAGGGGGTTTTTTGTTTGGGGGGTGTGTGTGGTTTGGTGTGTGTGTTAAAGGTTTTGTGTGTGGGAGGTGTGTTTTTGGTGGTTTTTTGGGTGGTTTTGTTTGGTGTGTGGTGGGTTTGGTGTGTTTTGTGGGTGGTGTGTGTTGTGTTAGGTGGGGGGGGTGGGTGTTGGGTGTGGTGTTTGGTTTTGGTTTTGGGGGGTTTTGGGTGGGTGTTTTGGTTTGGGGGGTGTGTGTTTGGTGGGTTTTGTGTTTGGGGGGTGGGGGGTAGGTGGGTGGTTTTTGGTTGGTGGGTTGTGGGAAAGGGGGTGTGTGTTAGGTGGGTTGTGGTTTGGTGGGTTTTGTGGTTTGGGGTTTTTGTGGTTTGTTTGGGGGTTTGTAAAATGGGTGTTGGTGGGGTTGGTGTGTGTGTTTTGTGTGTTTGTTTTGTGTTAGGTGTGTGTGTTAGGGGGTGTGTGTTAGGTGTGTGTTGGTTAGGTTTGTGTGTGTTGTGTGTGTGTGTGTGGTGTGTGTGTTGTGTGTGTGTGTTGGGGTGTGTGGGGTTTAGGGGTGTGTGTGTTGGGGTTGTGTTTAAGGGGTGTTTTGTGTGGTTTTTGGTTTAGGTTGGTGTTGTATTGGGGGGTTTTGGTTGGGGTGGGTGTGTGTTTTTTGGGGTTTTGTTTGTTGGTGTTCGGGAAAGGGGTTTCAAGTAAATCTTGTGGGTTAAATTGGGGAATTTCAATAAATTTTTCCGGTTATTTTATCCCTTTTTGTAACCCTGGGTTAAATAAAATTTGGGTTTTATTTTTAAAAAGTGGGGGTTTTAGGGATTTTCAGGATTTTCCCTTGGTTTTAGAGTGTGAATTTTTTTTGTAAATTGTGTCTTGTATGTTAAATAAAAGTGTATGATGAAAATATTGGGAAAAGAAAAGTTTTAAAAGGGGCTGCGGATAATTTAGTAACAATGTCGAAATTTAAAAAAAAAAATTTTAAAATTGGGTTTAAATTTTTTTTCAGTTAAAAAAAAAGGGGAGGGGGGGGAACCCTTTAAAAATCCCCCCAAATTAACTAAAAATGGGGAAACTCTGGGTAAATATCCTTTTACCAAAAACCAAAAACCCCCAAAATTCCCGCCAATCTTCCCCTTTCCCCATTTTTATGCCCCCCCCCACAATTTTCCCAAGCATAAATTTTACCTTCCCTGTTTTTTTCATTTTAATAAAGGCCATTTTTTTAGAATTCCCATTATTTTCCCTTTTATTTTAAAATTTGAAAATTTTCCAAAATTTTTTTTGTTTGTTTAAAATAAAAAAGGGAGTTATCCCCCCCCCCCGGGGGGGGACCCCCCAAACCCCCCCCCCCCCCCCCCCCAAAGGGGGGGGGGGGCCCCCTCTTTCCAACCCCCCAAACCCCCAAAATTTTCCCCCCCCCCTGGTTAAAAATCCAAAAAACCCCCCCAAAACCCCCCCATTAAAACCTTTAAAAGCCCTGGAAAAAAATTTTTTCAAAATTTGCCAAAATTTTTAAAGTTTCCCGGTTTTTTCTGGATTTGGGGCCAACCAAAAGGGTCCTTTTTGAAAAAAAAAAAAATATTAATATTAAAAAAAGAAAATAAAAATTTTTTTCCAAATTTTAAAAAAAAAACAATGGAAATTTTTAAACAATTTAACATTTTTTAAAAAAGGAACCCCCTTTCAGAACCCCCCTGGCCCGGCCCTTTCCAAACCAAACCCCTCAAAACCCAAAAAACTTTTATTAAAAAAAAAACTTTAAATTCATTTCCCAAACCCCCCTTAACCCTTTTTAAAAGAAAAATTAGGAATTGTCACTCCAAAAATTTTTTCAAAAAATTTTAAACCCAAAAAAATTTTTTTCCTTTTTGAAATTTCCCCCAAAAACCAAAAACCCCTGTTATTGGGAAATTTAAAAATAAAGTTTGGCTTTTTTTTGTAACTTTTTGAAAGGGGTTGGAAAAAGGAATTAATTTTGGGGGGAAAAACTCCTTGGACCCGTTTCTTACCCGGGGCCCCCCACCAAATTTTTGAATGCGATTTGCTGAAAAATTAATAGAAAAATGGAAAATGGCACACAAGATCTTTCCTGAAGGCATACTCATATAATATATTAAACACATGAAAGTAACATACTAAAAAATCTTCACCTCATAATATCTGATCTTTGGCATCAGAATACACCTATAAAATATGACACTGGAAACTAAATTTGTTACAAGACACTTTGCCAAGTTTATATTCAGTCTACAGGTTAACATATCATGGATGGGGTCACAACCAGGAATGGATGAACACATGACAGCCTAACAGATACAAGGTTTTAAAACATATATAAGCAGTGATGCTCAATGCAAAAGACAACATAAAATCTAATGCCATTTAATAAAAAAACTAATGGGATTTATAATTTTACGAGTGTTATATGCATTTTATTTACAATATAAGTAATTCTTCTTCACTTGCAGACCAGCCTGATGCCAGGCTTCCTACACATCAAACACCAAGTACACTTCATAAAAACCATTCTCTCTCAGAGTTACATTTCAAGACCCCTTCCTTTTCCGTAATGCCTGTCTGAATACCTAAAAATGTAGGAGATATGTCACATCATTCAAATTAATTTTCATGAAGAAATCTAACCTAGAAAAACTAATTTATATTCGCTAGTGTTACACGAACATTTCCCCATGTCAAAACCTATTACAAACATTTGTATTGAATCTTCATAAAGATAAAGTCCTTGAGACTTTGTACAGTAGGGCCCCACTTTACGGTGTTTCACTTTACTGTGTTCCGCTAATACGGACACTTCAAATTATGACCAAAACTCACTATACGGCTCCCCCACCTGACTTTCTAATACGGTCACCACACCACACTCACTTTGTTTACATTTTCCATGAGCTCCATAAGCACCACGTCTCTCCATTATATCTGGAAACTCCAAAATTTCAAGTGTTTTTAAAAGTTATTTCATATATATTTTTTTTTTCAACAAGTCGGCCGTCTCCCACCGAGGTAGGGTGACTCAAAAAGAAAAAATCCCCAAAAAGATAATACTTTCATCATCATTCAACACTTTCACTTCACTCACACATAATCACTGTTTTTAGCAGAGGTGCCCAGAAACAACAGTTTAGAAGTATATACGTATAAAAATACACAATACATGTATATCCCTCCAAACTGACAATATCCCAAACCCCTCCTTTCGAGTGCTGGCATTGTACTTCCTATTTCCAGGACTTGAGTCCAGTTATATAAAATAAACGGTTTCCCTGAATCCCTTCACTAAATATTACCCTGCTCACACTCCAACAGCTCGTCAGGTCCCAAATACCATTTGTCTCCACTCACTCCTATCTAACATGCTCATGCACACTTCCTGGAAGTCCAAACCCCTCGCCGACAACACCTCCTTTACCCCCTCCCTCCCTCCAACCTTTACGAGGACGACCCCTAACCCGCCTTCCTTCCCCAACAGATTTATACGCTCTCCATGTCATTCTACTTTGATCCATTCTCTCTAAATGACCAAACCACCTCAACAAACCCTCTTCAGCCCTCTGACTAATACTTTTATTAACTCCACCCCTTCTCCTAATTTCCACACTCCAAATTTTCTGCATAATATTTACACCACACACTGCCCTTAGACAAGACATCTCCGCTGCATCCAACCGCCTCCTTGCTGCAGCATTTACAACCCACGCTTCACACCCATATAAGTGTGTTGGTACTACTATACTTTCATACATTCCCTTCTTTGCCTCCATAGATAACATATATCTCAATACACCACTCACCTTTTTTCCTTCACCAATTCTATGATTAACCTCATCCTTCATAAATCTATCCGCCGACACGTCAACTCCCAAATATCTGAAAACATTCACTTCTTCCATACTCCTCCTCTCCAATTTGACATCCAATTTTTCTTTACCTAAATCATTTGATACTCTCATCAACAAATTTTGTTGAAAATAAGAAAACGTTTTGGAGTGAGATTAACAAGTTAAGGAAGCCTAGAGAACAAATGGATTTGTCAGTTAAAAATAGGAGAGGAGAGTTATTAAATGGAGAGTTAGAGGTATTGGGAAGATGGAGGGAATATTTTGAGGAATTGTTAAATATTGATGAAGATAGGGAAGCTGTGATTTCGTGTACAGGGCAAGGAGGAATAACATCTTGTAGGAGTGAGGAAGAGCCAGTTGTGAGTGTGCGGGAAGTTCGTGAGGCAGTAGGTAAAATGAAAGGGGGTAAGGCAGCCGGGATTGATGGGATAAAGATAGAAATGTTAAAAGCAGGCGGGGATATAGTTTTGGAGTGGTTGGTGCAATTATTTAATAAATGTATGGAAGAGGGTAAGGTATCTAGGGATTGGCAGAGAGCATACATAGTTCCTTTGTATAATGGCAAAGGGGACAAAAGAGAGTGCAAAAATTATAGGGGGAGAAGTCTGTTGAGAATACCTGGTAAAGTGTATGGTAGAGTTACTATTGAAAGAATTAAGAGTAAGACAGAGAATAGGATAGCAGATGAACAAGGAGGCTTTAGGAAAGGTAGGGGGTGTGTGGACCAGGTGTTTACAGTGAAACATATAAGTGAACAGTATTTAGATAAGGCTAAAGGGGTCTTTGTGGCATTTATAGATTTGGAAAAGGCGTATGACAGGGTGGATAGGGGGGCAATGTGGTAGATGTTGCAGGTGTATTGTGTAGGAGGTAGGTTACTGAAAGCAGTGAAGAGTTTTTACGAGGATAGTGAGGCTCAAGTTAGAGTATGTAGGAAAGAGGGAAATTATTTCCCAGTAAAAGTAGGCCTTAGACAAGGATGTGCGATGTCACCGTGGTTGCTTAATATATTTATAGATGGGGTTGTAAGAGAAGTAAATGCGAGGGTCTTGGCAAGAGGCGTGGAGTTAAAAGATAAAGAATCACACAAAGTGGGAGTTGTCACAGTTGCTCTTTGCTGATGACACTGTGCTCTTGGGAGATTCTGAAGAGAAGTTGCAGAGATTGGTGGATAAATTTGGTAGGGTGTGCAAAAGAAGAAAATTAAAAGTGAATACAGGAAAGAGTAAGGTTATGAGGATAACAAAAAGATTAGGTGATGAAAGATTGGATATCAGATTGGAGGGAGAGAGTATGGAGGAGGTGAATGTATTCAGCTATTTGGGAGTGGACGTGTAAGCGGATGGGTCTATGAAAGATGAGGTGAATCATAGAATTGATGAGGGAAAAGGGTGAGTGGTGCACTTAAGAGTCTGTGGAGACAGAACTTTGTCCTTGGAGGCAAAGAGGGGAATGTATGAGAGTATAGTTTTACCAACGCTCTTATATGGGTGATGAATGTTGCAGCGAGGAGAAGGCTGGAGGCAGTGGAGATGTCATGTCTGAGGGCAATGTGTGGTGTGAATATAATGCAGAGAATTCGTAGTTTGGAAGTTAGGAGGAGGTGCGGGATTACCAAAACTGTTGTCCAGAGGGCTGAGGAAGGGTTGTTGAGGTGGTTCGGACATGTAGAGAGAATGGAGCGAAACAGAGTGACTTCAAGAGTGTATCAATCTGTAGTGGAAGGGAGGTGGGGTAGGGGTCGGCCTACGAAAGGTTGGAGGGAGGGGGTAAAGGAGGTTTTGTGAGCGAGGGGCTTGGACTTCCAGCAGGCATGCGTGAGCGTGTTTGATAGGAGTGAATGGAGACGAATGGTTTTTAATACTTGACGTGCTGTTAGAGTGTGAGCAAAGTAACATTTATGAAGGGGTTCAGGGAAACCGGCAGGCCGGACTTGAGTCCTGGAGATGGGAAGTACAGTGCCTGCACTCTGAAGGAGGGTTGTTAATATTGCAGTTTAAAAACTGTAGTGTAAAGCACCCTTCTGGCAAGACAGTGATGGAGTGAATGATGGTGAAAGTTTTTCTTTTTCGGGCCACCCTGCCTTGGTGGGAATCGGCCAGTGTGACAATAAAAAAAAAAATAATCACCTTACTCTTTTCTATGTTCACTTTCAACTTTCTACCTTTACACACACTCCCAAATTTGTCCACTAACCTTTGCAATTTTTGTTTAGAATCTCCCATAAGCACAGTATCATCAACAAAAAGTAACTGTGTCACTTCCCATTTATTATTTAATTCCCCATAATTTAATCCCACCCCTCTAACAAACACCCTAGCATTTACTTCTTTTACAACCCCATCTATAATTTTTTTTTTTCAACAAGTCGGCCGTCTCCCACCGAGGCAGGGTGACCCAAAAAAGAAAGAAAATCCCCAAAAAGAAAATACTTTAATCATCATTCAACACTTTCACCTCACCCACACATAATCACTGTTTTTGCAGAGGTGCTCAGAAACACAACAGCTTAGAAGCATATACGCATAAAGATACACAACGTATCCCTCCAAACTGCTAATATCTCAAACCCCTCCTTTAGAGTGCAGGCACTGTTCTTCCGTCTATGACCTACTTTTACCGGGAAGTAGTCTCCCTCTTCAAAGCATTTAATAACTTACCACCTATTACGTATATGTACTTGCAACACCTGCCACATTGCTTCCCTATCCACTCTATCATATGCCTTTTCTAAATCCATAAATGCAATAAAAACTTATTATTATTATCACACTGGCCGATTCCCACCATGGCAGGGTGGCCCGAAAAAGAAAGACTTTCACCATCATTCACTCCATCACTGTCTTGCCAGAAGGGTGCTTTACACTACAGTTTTTAAACTGCAACATTAACACCCCTCCTTCAGAGTGCAGGCACTGTACTTCCCATCTCCAGGACTCAAGTCCGGCCTGCCGGTTTCCCTGAACCCCTTCATAAATGTTACTTTGCTCACACTCCAACAGCACGTCAAGTATTAAAAACCATTTGTCTCCATTCACTCCTATCAAACACGCTCACGCATGCCTGTTGGAAGTCCAAGCCCCTCGCACACAAAACCTCCTTTACCCCCCTCTCTCCAACCTTTCCTAGGCCAACCCCTACCCCGCCTTCCTTCCACTACAGGACTGATACACTCTTGAAGTCATTC